TTTAAATTCTCCATAAAAAAAACTTTATAAAAACTATATGCTATATGTGGCATAGAGTATCTATCCCACTAAATATATAACACATACATTGGACAGGATCAAAAGAATCAATTTAGAAGCACAAAAATAAATTATTTGGCTGAAAAGGTACCAGGGTTGTAGGGATGGTGAACAGAGCAGGGTGAGGAGGCTGCTGAGGCTCCAGAAGGCCCTCTGGAGAGGAGGGCTTTTGGTCCGTACCCACCATCAGTCTTCTGTCCCCACAGGTGACCGTGGTCCGGAATTTGGAGGCCTACGGTCTGGACCCGTGCTTGGTGGCTGCCATCCTCCAGCAGCGATGCCAGGCTAGCACCACCGTCACTCCGGCCCCAGGGGCCAAGGACAGCCTGCAGGTCCAGATCCAGGGAAACCAGGTCCACCACCTCAGCTGGCTGTTGCTTGGTGAGCATCCTCTCTGAAGAAGCCAAGACGTGGGTCTAACTTGGCAAAAATCTTCCCACCAACCCAACTCACTCTAGTTATAACACATGTAGATATTATATATATATAGCCATATCGTTTTTAGCAGCTAGCAAGAGGTGGAGCTAATGTTTGAGTCAGATCCTTTGGCTTCCAAGTTCAATTCTCTCTCCACCATACTCTTAGAGTAGTTTTCTTCCTGGTTTTCTCTTTTATAAAACAGTTGTTGAGCACCCAAGCTGTACTAGGCCCCTCACTGGGCTTTTTGCAGGCATGATCTCTCTCAATTATAGCGAGGCTTGCAGGACTGATTCTGCTTTGCCGATGAGGAAACTGAGGTTCAGAGAATTCGGTATTCTGCCCTGAGACATTCAACTGGGGAGTGCCGCCACTGGGCGCTGAGCTTGTGAGACACCGGAGCCTAAGTTCTTTCTACTGACTCTGGGCCACCTGGCCTCCAGTTTGTCCTCAGTGCAGGCTGTCCTCTACATCTCTGCTTGGGCCAGCTTTCTAAAACAAATGTGATCACATCACTCCCCTCTGAATGACTTTTTTTTTTTTTTTAAAAGATTTTATTTTTTTCCTTTTTCTCCCCAAAACCCCCCGGTACATAGTTGTATATTCTTTGTTGTGGGTCCTTCTAGTTGTGGCATGTGAGACGCTGCCTCAGCGTGGTTTGATGAGCAGTGCCACGTGCGCGCCCAGGATTCGAACCAATGAAACACTGGGCTGCCTGCAGCAGAGCATGCGAACTTAAACACTCGGCCACGGGGCCAGCCCCTGAACTACTCTTGATGCCTCTTCGGTGCCTTCCAAATCACTCCTAAGCTCAACAGACAAGACCCTCCCGTCTGAGCCCCAGCTTCCATTCAGGCGTCTCTGGCGGCTCCCACCCGGTCCTGGGCCTCGGCCATGCTGGCATCCTCGCTGCCCCCATACACCACGCACGTTCACACGGGGCTCTCAGCTCTGCGCTTCCCTTGCCGGCGTGCCCTCCCACAGCCCAACTCTCCCAGTCGTAGAGGCTCATTGGCCCAGCTCAAGGGTCATGGAGAGTCTCTCTCAGAGCATGGCCCATTTTTCCTTAAATTAGCATTTTAAAAATTGCTAATGGAGCACTTTCTGTTTGTGTTTCTATTTCTGATAAGTGTCTGCAACATGGCTCATTTTATCTAATGTCAGAACCCCTGTTCCACTGAGCATCTCGAGTCAGAGACTTGCCTTTTTCACCCTTTTTTCCTTCTTGGAGCCTGGCACGTGGTGAATGCCCAACAAGCAGATTTCTTCTGGGGCCTGAGGCCGCTCCCAGCAGCTCACTTACACTTGAGCCCCTTTGCTGAGAAGAAATACGGGGGAAAATAGCCAAACGCACAGCTGAATACAGACATGTTCTCTCCAGGAGAACATTATAAATGCCTGAAGTACACGTAGAAGGGAGCTGTCAGTGTGAAAATTGCTGAAATACACACTTCAGCTGCGAGGTCTAAGGATAAATGGTGCATCCCAGAAGGCTTCCCGTAGGAGTTGAGTTTGGGCTGGGAGCAGGTCACACGATGGATCCTTTGAACAGAGGCTTCACAGCAGGAGTGAGCACCCAGTGGGCAAGAGGGCCAGGAGGTAGCTGTGTGGTTCAGGGTCGGGGTTTGGGCACCAAGGAGGGACATTGTGAGACAAAGCTGAAGCAGTAGAGAGCAAGCTCATGCCCCACTGAGGAGTTTCTGCTTTCTGGCTTGTAGAAGAGTATCAGCTTCCTCGAAAATATGTCCAAGGCCTAGAAAAGGCCCCCAGACCTGGCAAGAAGAAGTGACAGACTCTTGTTTCATGCAGTCGATCCAGTGGAAATCCAAGCTCTGGGCTGGTAATTTATATGAGCGCTTTCAGCTTTTGCAAATAAAAAAATATAATTCTTTACCAAAATAAATTTTTATTCTAATCTAAATCTGATTCCCCTCATGTTTCCTCCATGTGGCTAAAAGGTTGTGCTAAGTTTCCAGACCAGCGGCCGCTTTAAATGGACGGAAGAGGCTGTGGTGGGGCCTTTCCATGCGTGTGGCTTCAGTGGCTCTGCTTCCTCCCCTGCTTTCAAGCCCGCAGCCAGCCAGAGTTCAGGCAGGTGGGGCCTTCCCTCTACCAAATACTCCTCAGCCTCTTGCTCATCTATTCCTACTGCCTAATTATCCTCCGAGCCCCCAAATAGATCCTTCACGTCTCTAAAGGGTTATTCATAAGGAAATCAGAACGCAGCTGTTCTCTGTCATCAATCAAGGCAAAAGAAGAAAGGATTGACCCTAAATTGCAGCAAAATTTAGGTTAGACGGAAATGAGAAGCAATAAAAGCACATTAGGACACGGTTTCTACCTGACGGTGATTCCTCCCCGACGTTGCAAAGCGCCGCTAACAGTGGTAAATTGTGATGTGGCTGCAAGGTGGTGGTTTTGTTACAGTGAAGCATCTTATCCAACAAGTGCTTTCTGTAGCCCCAAACTTCTTAACCTGGGGCTCGGGGAGGGGTCTCTCGCTGGTCTTCCGAGGGCTCCTGCACTCCCTGAGATGGTGCACAGGTTTGGTGTGATCATTTTCCTAACTGAGGTCACCACGCTTTTGTCAAATTCCCAGTGGGATTTCTTAAGGCCGAAAAGGTTCAGAACCACTGCTGTGGTCCCTGCTCAGTTCATTGAAGTCATTTCTGTGAGCACAGCATCCCTGTGCAATAGGAGGGGTGAGGGCTGAGCTGAATGGCTTTAGAGTTCTTTAGTTTTACCATCAAAAAACAATTACACTCCAATTTACTTTGTTTAAAAAAACTGAGATAAAAACGACTTGAAATATCCACAAATTACCCCTCTGGGGCTTGGAAAGGAAGAAAGGGACAGGTATGAAAATGTGTGTGTGATGCCTCCTACCTTTGGTTATTAGGCTCAGAATAATAGGCCTTTTCACTTGTGGCAGGTGCTGTAAGTCACCTCGTCAATTTTACTGTCCTCTCTGCTGACATGAGCATATGACCTGAGAAGGGGATATCTAGAAGTGGACCCCAAACAAGTTTCTATTACAACAAAACCTTTGGCCAGACAGAGTTGGATCTGAGGGAGTACAGTATGTACAGTAGTAATGAAATACGGTCTTTGAATGACTACAGATAACATGTGGTACTTCAAGTTCCTTCACAAACATCATTTGTTTTCTACAACGTTGGAGGGTTTGGAGGCTCAGAGAGGGTGTCTTGCCTTAATCACTGCTAAAGACACAAAGCCAGTAAATGGTGGGCTGGGTCTAAAATGAACATCAACCTTTAACTGTGGTTTGACCCAGAATTCTGCTGTGACACTGTGCTGTCAAGACCTGTGCTCTGCATGGTTTTTCCAGTAATGGTGACACATTTGCATTGAGTCACTTCTCTTTCCTCCTTGTGAACACCATAGGTACGCCTACGAAGGCGGGGAGAGTCAGGCTGTGCACTTCTTTTTTCTGTGTGCTAAGCCAAATAATCACTATCAAAGTCAAACTTACAACTTTGAACTTAATCCCATGCTGTAACCAGATGTGTTTCAATGAAAAGCAGAAACTGGTTCATTTCTAGGTTTTGGCAAAATTATTGAAAGATATACTTCTCGGAGGTCTAGGTGAACAAATGTCACAGATGTGCCCATTTTGGATAATTTTAAGAATGTCTATTGGACAGGGTGTTCTCTCCCACAAGGAGGCGAGAAGTGAACTGCACGGGCCCTGTTCATTGCATTGTGTATGGTCAATAGTTGAAGGCAGGCAGTTTCTTTCTTTTTTTTTTTTGAGGAAGAATTAGCCCTGAGCTAACTACTGCCAATCCTCCTCTTTTTTGCTGAGGAAGACTGGCCCTGAGCTAACATCCGTGCCCATCTTCCTCTACTCTATACGTGGGATGCCTACTGCAGGATGGCGTTTGCCAAGCGGTGCCATGTCCGCACCTGGGATCTGAACCGGCGAACCCTGGGCCGCTGAGAAGTGGAATGTGTGAACTTAACCGCTGCGCCACCAGGCCGGCCCCGCAATTTCTTTTTAATAGCTTTATTTGGTTATTTCCATGATAACTGAGATGTCCCTTTGATGGAAGTTAGATAATCTAAAGTGAAAGGATTGTTTTAGTCATCTAATCTAGTTCCCTTCCCCCAGGTGAGATGATCTTAAACTTTCAAAGAAACATTCCTTTCTCTCTCATTTTTCAATCATTCCAGAAACAGAAGACCGTTCTTACCTCAGTAGCCTGTCCTGGTGTTTAATCAGCCTTAGCTCCAGAACACTCCTCCTCTTTTCCAACTCAACACCTCTCTCTCTACTGAGTCCCCTTCCTCTCCTGCTCCGTGAGGCCACCTCGGCCGCACCCTCCAGCCCACGCATCTGGACAGTTTGCAACCTTATTGGAACAGAGGCCTTCATTCCTCTGCTGGCTGGCAGAAGAAACTCTGACTCTGCCAAGCAGTGTGTGTTCTGCTCTGTTCCCACCCTCTCCCAGCTCCCAATCTCCACAAGATGGTGAAGCTCAAGGAGATGTCTCCAGCCTGAATCATTTTTGCAACAAGCTTTTATTACTTTTTTTTAAAACCCATATAAGAAAGACACTTAAAAAGAAAATATCCTGAAAACAAACACCCACTGGGCAACACAATGCTAGAAGGCACTCCCAGCACTCATACCCACGTCTGGGGGAGGGGATGCTTTACACACCGTTCTCGGAGGCTTGCACCCGGCCTGGGGCCTGGGACTAACTGTGCGTAAAGTCTGAGTTTTTCCATAATTTTCTTGTTTCATAAACAGCCCTATCTCTTTATATATAGCCATCTGCCTTTATGTATATATGTACAGGACTTTTCTTTCCTTCTCAAAAATAAAGTAGCCGTCCCATCCAAGGGAGGTTCTCAGCAGCATTCACAGCCTCGCAGCAGGAGCCGTGCCTTCTGTGAACATTAAAGATGCGCAGCCCAAAGGAAAAGGGACCCTCCGCCCGGTCCCTACTACACAGCGGGGAGGGGGAGTTTCAGGGAGGGGAGTGATAAGGCTGAGCATGAGATGGCAGGTAACCAGGGTTTTTGTGGTTTAAAACAACTTTTTCCAGCTGCTAGCTTGTCTTGACTTAGCTCTGAAGACTACACAGTTTGTATGACGAGGGGGCAGCATTCCTTCTGGGATCGGGGGCAGTGTGGACTCAGCAGGGTCAGGGAAGGAACTTCTGAGGCTACACAAAGAAGCTTGGGCTCAAACTGCCCCAAGAGGGACCTGGGAAGGCAGAGGACAGCAAAGAAATAGTCTCAGAGGCCGGGCTGGAAAGCCAGCCCTGCTGTGAAAGTTAAAAGTCCGTCTCCCCTGCACTGGAGTGTCTTTGCAGTCCTGGCTACTTGCTGGAATTGTTTGGCTAGTTTATTTCTAAGTTTGAACCTAAACAAGGAGCCAGTACAAACGTAGAGTCAGGAATGTGATCTGCCCTGTCCATGTGGTTTGACATCACTTCTTGGAAGTCAAGGCCCAGGACCTTAGATGGGAAGGAGGTCTGTGGCCCTCGCCCCATACTTGGAGCGACAGCTCTGCCGGCCGTGTCTCCCACACCGCCATGGTCCACTTCCTGGCAGGAGCAGGCCAGCAGCAGAGCTTCAAGCAAATGCCCCTGCTGCTGTCACTCTCTGAAAACAAAAAGGCACTGAGGTCAGCTGGAGGCCAGCCCTATGGGCTCACAGAGAGAGTGCAGTGCCATAGGCTGGCCCGGGCTACGGAACACAAAGGACTCCAAGCTGGCTGAGTGGGAGGATCCCCCCCTCTGTAATTGAGGCAGCTCCTCTGGCAGCACCTGGGGATTGCAGAGTCCCAGTGGGAGGAGAGAGGCAGTGCTGGAGGCCCAGGGGGAAACCAAGGCAGCCAGGCGCCCCTGCTGTCTGCTGGGGGAAGGTTGAAGACAGCTTGGACGCATTTCTCTGCACAGCTTTTTGGCTTTCTCTGCCTGCCTGACGTCCGCGCTCAGCAGGAGACTTTTATCATGGCAAATGGCTGGTTTCCCTTTGGTGGAAATGCATGAGGATGATGGCGATATTAAACTCAAATTTGGAACTTAAAAACAAACAGTAGTTGACAAAGATATGGCTAAGTACCACATATATGCAGATACGCATGCCTTTGGGTTTACATGTGCACAGACTGGCGATGAGGGCCAAGGCCAGGGCAGGCTGCAGCTTCTCTGGCGATCTCTGAGCCGACCTCGCCTTGGGTGCTCCTTACCTGAGCATCTGGGACCGGTGGCTTTATGACCTTTCCTTAAGCATGAACGGGCACCTTGGGACAGTGGGGGACAATCCTTTTATGAGCATTATCCTGCTTTCCAGGGCTTAGCTCAGACCTGCTAAAGGAATATGCTACAATTTTTGACTCATAAATAAAGGTACTGTGGGTGGCAAATAAGAGAGAAATTGAAGAAGAATAAAAGCCAGAGAAAGAATATGTATCTCTATGACTTCTTTTCTTCCCTTTGCCGGGTGGTGTGAACGGCTCCAGTTTGGTGATGAGAGAGGCAACTGTTTGGTTTGTGGAAGCCTGCAGACTGGGAGAGGACGTTGTCCGTTCACGTGAGCGCTGCTCCTTGGCAGGGTCCAGAGGGCACAGCGTGGGGGCGGCCAACCCGACCCTGCACACATTCATGTCCATCAGAGATTTTGTGCCACACCTGGACCTGCTGGGCAGACACAAATGCACCCGCCAGAGGTGTCCTGAGAAAAAGTGTCTGTTGCCAAATAATCACTAATAATAAGAATAAATCCACGGGCATCCGGGGAAGAGGCAGCAGGACCGGTTAGCCAGGTTTGCCCTGAGATTCTCTTAAGGCCTCCGCCAGTTTCTGCCTAAACTTGTCATACTTCTTCTGCACTTGCTGGATTTTGTCCCGCTCCTCCTTTTCCAGGATTGTTAGGAAGTTCTGGAGCTCAGGGATGGAGAAGTCATCCCACTGTGAGGCAAGAGGGAGATCGGGGGAGACACAGAAGAGGAGACGGGTTAGAAGCCGCGCGACCGGAGGGCCCTGCAGCCTCCCCCTTCCCAGGGTTTGCACGGTTTGCTGCCAAACAGGAGGGGACGAGGAAGAAAGCTTAGGTTTCCCACGTCACACCAGCAACAAAATTTCAAATCCTGGCATTTCATGACCAAGAATCCTAGTTCACAAGGAGCTGCTTTGCTGTGATGAGTGACAGGCTCCCAACGTGCAGACCCTGAAGAGGCAAGTGGAGGAAAGCTGGACTTGGACCAGGAGACCAGCTTCAGCCTGACTCCAGCGGGTGACCTAAGCACATAACTCCACCCTTCTCAGCCTGTTTTCTCATCTGCCGTGGAGTGAAGGTATCTCCCTCCCTTGGCTGCAGAGCAGATCACGAGATAAGGTAACCCGGAAAGCTCTGCGGCGCCCAGCTGGCCGGATGGGACCTGGCCTCTCAGGGCCGAGGGCAAGCCTGACGTCGCTCAGGCTGACCCAGGAGCTGAGGCCCCGTGGGGCCAGGGATTTCAACTCCTAAGCTCTTTCAGCACCAAGGAATATTAAGGTTTATCTGGTTTAATCCCCACATTGGATGCACGAGAAAACTGAAGTCCAGGGAGGGAAGCTGGCGGGACCACGCCCACAGAGCAAGTCCAGGGAGGGAAGCTGGCGGGACCACGCCCACAGAGCAAGTCCAGGGAGGGAAGCTGGCGGGACCACGCCCACAGAGCAAGTCCAGGGAGGGAAGCTGGCGGGACCACGCCCACAGAGCAAGTCCAGGGAGGGAAGCTGGCGGGACCACGCCCACAGAGCAAGTCCAGGGAGGGAAGCTGGCGGGACCACGCCCACAGAGCAAGTCCAGGGAGGGAAGCTGGCGGGACCACGCCCACAGAGCTCGTGGCGGCAGAGCTAGAACAGGACCCAGGCCTGCGAGCTCTCCACGGGCGGCAGTGTTCACACACCTTCAGCGGAATGTTTTCCAAACAGAATCTTCCGCACACTCCAACATATAAGGCAGATGGAAGCAGGACTGCCTGGCTGACACGAAAAGGACAGAGCCGCACCGGCCTAGATCCCCCAAATCTGCAGGGACCCCCAAGACTGCTCCCCAAGCCCTAGGCCTCCACTGAACACAGCGTGACAAACACGACGAGAGGCTCCCCTCTCTCGGTCACATGCCCCCCACCACCCCCAAGCACCACAGGCCACGTGGAGTGCCAGCCGTTTCACCTGTTGACACCCCCGGACTGGACCCTGGTGAGCTTGCCGTGGGGGGCAGGGTCAGTTTTTAAGAACCAGGGAGAGACATACGGCTCAAAAATATCAATACCCAGTGGAACCCAGAGATGGGGGCTGTGGGGCCTCAGGCCATCCTGGAACAGAAACAACCTGGGCCCAACACAGGGAGTTCCCAGTGCCCAACACCCCACCTGCCCCTCCGAGTTTTCAGAAATTCTTTCCACAGGCCTTGCCAGACACAGGCTTGACCTGCTCCCCAGCGCACTTACAATCCTGGCTGAACACTCAGCATTGCCCAGCTCTCACCCAACTCCACTTTCTCAAGTCATTTCCCTGCCGCCACTGCTGCATGCGTGGCCCCGGCCTGTGGCAGGCGGGGAGACAGCGCCCACCTGAACCCACCCAGTGTGCCCCAAGGGCTGGGGCTGTGCCACAAGCAGAAGGTCCCGGACCTACCTCCACCTCTCCAGTTTCATTCTCCTTCAGCACAAAGCTGAGCACATCAGTGTCAGGCCCAGCAAGCAGGCGCAGGTAGAGGGGGCAGTCCGCCACGGAGAGTTTCTGGAAGAGCACTGCAAACCAAGAGAGGGGGCTGGGAGCTCATCTCGAGAAGAAGGGCAGGGCCCGGGAGGGGTGGGACAGAATTGGAAATGCAGAGGTGGGGTGGTTACAACTGGAAGGAGCCGTCCTTTCCCCTAGTGAAACGAACCTCACAAGAATGAATAGGGTAATAACCTTTATCTTTGGCGTCTGCTCAGAGTTTGGAGCATGTTTCCATTCACATCATCTCCCAAAAGATTAGGAGTGGTGGGGCGGATTCCCTCCCCTTCCACAGATTAGGAAGCAGGAGCCCAGGGAGGGGTTTTCCTAAAGTCACATACAGAGGGAGGGGCACAGTGAGCAGGCATGAGCTCCCGCTCAAGCTCTGTCCTGAGTGCGTGCGTGGCCCTTCCACCGATCTGATGCCACGTGACAGCTGGACTGCGGTGCCCAGGAGGGGTCCACCCCGCCACCCAAGTCTGGTAGGGGTTCAGCGGGTGAGCACAGACAGGGCTGGGAAAGGCAGTTTCCGGTTGGGAGCTCGCTCGCTCATACCTTGCCCGTCCTTGTTTATCTGCTTAAACAGTGCAAACTTCTGGGGGTTGTCCACGACCATGAACTTCTTGAGCAGCCCCTGAATGACCTCGCTGACCGTGGTGGCGCTGCTGATGTGCAGCTGCTTGATGGCATCGAGCGGCAGGTAGAAGGAGGTCCTCTTAGCCGTGGTGGCCGCCAGGTTCACTTCCTTAATGGCGTCATAGATGGACTGGGGCCGGATCCCAGCAGGCACCGTCACCGGCCGCCGAAGTTTCAAATGCACTTTGATGAAACCCGTGTAGGTGCCGTCTTCGCTCTGCCAGGGGCGGACGTCACATGGGGTCAGGGCGGATCTGTCTTGCACGATTCTATTTGCCACTCCGGGCCATTGTCCCGGGGTAGGTGGGCTGCAGAGGCCTTTCCTAATAGCAGTGCCACCCCAGTCAGCACCCCCCCCACCTGTCTCCCTGAGTTTCTTCCTGCCTCCGCTGACTGGGGGTGCTGGAGGAGCAGAGACACTGTCTCCCCACATTGGGCCAGGAGAAGGCCCATGGTATCCGGCTACCAGAGAGGACCCTTGGGGCTGCCCCTCCCCAGAGGCTCAGGCTGCCTGCCCCAAATCCCCTGCCACAAGGAGCATGCTGACCACCTTTGGTGGGTCCCCACTCTAAGAGGCAGGTCTGGAGTAGCCTCTCTAGTTGGCCCCCCCAAACCGGGGAAGAGCAAGAAGGCTCTGTAATAAGGTCCTCGGAGAACCAGCCCACTGGATTTCCTCCTGCATCTCTTTCCAAAATCCGGCAGCCTGAAGACTTAGACCTGGGCCCATCTGCCGCTGGATTTTCGGGCGCCCCATCTGGCTGGAGCGCCAAAGAGCCAGTTACCGCCAGCGACCAGCAGGGGGCAGGGTTCTTCTACCTTCTCCGCACTGTCCCACTGAAGGTGGCCTTTCTGGACCTGGCGCAAAGTTGGTGCCCTCCTCTCTGAGCTCTGCACAGTCTAAGGAAGCTCCCCAGACACAGGCCGTCATAGTGCAACGGACCAAGACGGGGAGGAGGGGAGCTGCGAACTCCCCTTATCGAGGGCTTCCTGCGGGCCAAGCAACACCGGGCCCCTGGTCATTGTATATCATTTAATTCCCGCAAGAGCTCTGACAAATGGGCACTAGTTTCTCTATTTTACATTGCCGCTCAGAGAAGTTAAGAAGTTTCCCAGAGTCACAGGTGAAAAAGCGAAAGCGCTAGAGATTGGATCTGGATCTTATTCAAAGCCCATTCTATCCCCTCAAGCACGGGAGGCGCCTGAGCACCCAGGGGTCAGCCGGCCACAACCCCGAGGCCTCAAGAAGCCTGAAGAAAGGGGAGGCACCTCGGAGGGTAGCCCCAGAATCCAGGGGCGAGCAGAGGGGCCAGGGCCGGGCGGGGAGGGGCAGCCGCTCACCAGCTTCATGCGCAGGCACTCTTTCTCCCGGCTGTTGTAGCTCTGGATCTTCTGCTTGATCTCCTGCAGTGTGGGCGGGGGCCGCGTCTCCTCGGCGGGTTTACAGACATTCTGGAACAGACACAGAAGTGAGGCTGGGTGTACACGAGGAAGGGAACCACCATGCTCTCCCAAGGCCACTCTGACCAAGAATAGGTGAGCACCAGCCCCACGCAGCCCACCAACTGTACAGACTCAGGGTGAGGACAATCAGAGGTGAAATCCCAGCCATGCCACCGCTAGCCAGGCCCTCGGGGAAGTAACTTAAATCTCCTTGTGCCTCAGTCTTCTCACCTGTGCGATGGGAGCAATGCCTACCCCTCGGGCCTGTTTCGAGATCCCTGTGAGAGAGCCCGGCACACAGGCATTGAGTAGGAATCTGGCCAATCAGCAGAGCTGGGTTTGCTTACAGAGGGTTGCTACGGAAAAGATGCATTTAGATGCTAAGAGAGATACAAAGAAATGCAAGCCATGGTCATCTCTTCAAGGAAGTGACAATGGAGTTGAGAGAGACAGGAGTGTAAAGGTGGTCCCAGTGTGCACTGATGAGAATGACAGCAATTCTCGCAGACCAGAGGACCGAGGGTACATGGACATCAGTTCAGGCCCATGTCACTGGCCACGATGCCTCGCACATAGTAAAAAGCAAATATATATTCGTCAAATGAATGAGTGGACTGGCAGGGGCAGGGGGTTGTAGCCTTCTAGATAACTGAGGGGATAACCCTCCTCTGTTGGGGTGCAAGGACAACACCTCTGGGCCAAGGACTTGGCAGGCATCATCTCATTTAATCCTCACGAACCACAACTCTGCGAGACAGAGTTCACTGCGCATGTTTCACGGGGGAGACAACTGAGCCTAAGAGGAGTTCAGCAGCTTGCCTAAAGCCCTACAGTCAGTGCGTGCAGGACAAAAAGGAGATTTCAGGTCTGTCCTTGTGTTCTTCCCACGACCTCACCATTTATTGCCTTCATACCCTCCCCTGGTGCCCCCTCCCCCAAGGGAAGGGTAAGGGCAGAACGAAGCTGCACGGATGGACATCAATGTCCTTCACACTGGGGGGTGGGGTTGCCGGGGTGAATCCTGGGGTCTAAGTAACTCTGTCCCTCAGTCAAATCCTGGATTTCTCTCACGTTCATTGCACCCACCTTCCCGGTTTGTCTTCATGCTGTCCGTGTGTGGCTGGGAGTGCCGGAGCCACAGTTTGGGGGGAATAAATAGGTCGGTCAAAACCCACCCAAATTTGCCCAATCCCAGAAATCTGGTGGATGCGGGGCGGGTCAGGATTCTCCTCTGGCATTGACGAAAGGGGCCCAGAGAGGCCAGGCGGCTGTTCTCTGGCCGCCTCCCTGACACCATCCAACACTGTGCCGTGCATGTCCGGTTTGGGTGGGGAATTTCACAGTTGCCCTGCCATCACACCACCACCCAGCTGAACACAATGGGCACCCACAGCAGCCTGCCCCGTCTTCCTCCCTCCAGCAAGCCCGGGAGATGCGTCACACTCGGCAAGATGCCTTCACTTCCTCCTCCCACTTTCCAATCCCACGTTGCTGATAAAAGGCCAAGCTGTGTGGCTGCCAAGGGGAGCTGGTGTGGCCCCCCCCAACCCTCCCACCCATCAGCACAGCAATGAGCAGACATCCCCCTTCCATCACGACATCTTCCCCTGGCCTGTCTGCTCTCTCTGTGCTCTTCCTCAGGGAGCCTGATAAGAACAGCACCGTGCTGGCACTTTCGCATCCCTTCTCCCACACACCACGTAGGTCACTCCTATTTGACAGATTACGTAGCTGAGGTTCAGAAGCATGCCGGTGCTCCCTCTGCTAGTAGGCCTCTGAGTAGGGCCTGGAACCGAGTCCATCTGAGTCTGGAGCCCGTGTCCTTCTCAACTCACCACGTGGCCTCCCTAGGACAGCTTCTGCCACTCCCATAATGATCACAGGAACTCTGTGCCACAGGGCTGGGAGGGGCTGATGCTAAACCAAGGCCTATCAGTTATGCGACTTGTGAGGCATTCATTCAAGGTGTATCTGGCCAGTGGGTCAGGTCCAGAGGCTTCAGGACCCAGGAGCACGGTGTCACCTGCAAAGATGGCAAGGAGGAACTTCTGACTTCTGGAGTGAGATGCAGCTCTTGGATGTAGGGCCCACCCTTTTCCTATGTAGCCACTCAGGTCTCTGGAACTGGACCTTGATTCCATCGAAGGCCACCCACGAGGGAGCACTCCCCAGGCCACCTCTCGTTTGCTTGAGGTGAGTGGCAAGTAGTGTGAGCCTCACAGACTGTCTTCATTCGCTGTCGTTTTACTAATCCAGGAACCCTCAGACTGGAGCTTCTCACGCCTCGTCCCTTCCCTGGGTCTGTTCCTGGAGACCCTGCCCCCAGCCCCCAACCTGCTGGACACGTCTCCATGGGCCCAGGCGTGCCTGCTCTCTGGGGGCTTCCAGCCAGAAAGACCAGTGTCCGCTTACTACTAAGGCGCCATTCTGTCCATCTCTGAAGCACGCAGGCTGCTGTTCCTCAGGAGTTAACAGCTTTCTCATAAAAAAGAGTTAAATGATAGAAAGAAAACTTTAGAAGCTCTTGCAAGATGTCCTCTTTCCAAGAGCCACAGCTATTTCCCTATAAGAAAAGGCAGCTGTGTCATTCAAAGGCTGGTGGTCCAGGCCTGGTTTTGAATACAGCAAGAGTCAGAGCTGCCTTAACCTAAGATTTCTTCTTCTTCCTGTTCCCCTTTCCTCCAGCAGACAACCCATCTATTCTCTCCCTTTCCCACCACAAACCCAGGGAAGTGATGCAAGTGGCTGCGGCCACCCCTTCGGGGACTGACGCAGAAGACGGTCATCCTGACCTCACCACCCCACCTGGGAGCGCAGGAGCCCCTGTGTGGCCAACACGTCGAATCTCGCACCCCTTGATGGCAGCACCCGGGCTGGAACGGCTGCTGCCCACACCAGATCTGGCAGACATGATCTGACCTTGGACTGAATGAATCACCTCCCAAAGGAGGCCAGCCAGCCAGTCAGCCGACCGGAGCCCGCGAGCCCGCTAATCTGTTCCCATCCGAGGGACAGTGCAGCACCTAAACCAGTGGTTCTGAAACTTGGCTGCACATGCAATCATCTGCGGGATCTTTAGAAACAAAGTGCTGAACCCCAATCCGGAGATTCTGATTTAATTGTCTGGGGTGCATCCTGGGCATAGGGATTCAAAAAATCTCCCAGACAGCTCCGATGGGCAGCAGTGATTGAGAACAGGTGCGGGTCCCTCCGACCTCAAGGGCCCCGTCCAGTTGCAGTTAACCCTTCAGCACGCACAGATCTCCACTGCCCCAAAGGGTTACCTAAAAGGCATTGTCTGCTGGCTGACAAGATCAACACTACAGTAATCTCCAGAGGACAAGGCAAGGACCCCAACGTCTCTTCACCTGCCAGATGCTCAAGTCCTCAAAGTGAAAGATTTGTCTCGTCCACAGGAACAAAGCTAGAAACCAGGCAGGTTTTGTCTCCCGGGGTGGCCCAGGATGGAGACAGAATGGGGAACTCACTCTGTTATGATTTAATACATACAGGCACTGGCCAGTGAGTGTCTCTCCCGGGGTTTACACATCTCAGTGCATCTGGCGTGGAAGTCATCTGCTCTGACTAGGCCCCTGGCGTTGGTGGCAGATGGTTTAGCTGTTCGCAGTGCACCCAGCTCACCCAGGGTGCTGGTGAAAAACAGGTTTGTGTTCATACGTCCTAAGGCTGGGAGAGGGCCGTGTCCTCCCCGAGCTCTCGAGGTTCCTGGGGTACAGCCACGTGAAGAGGCTGGCTGCCAGGGCACAGAGCAGAAGTGCCCCCTGAGAGAGCGACCCTCCAACTTCTCTGTTAAAATATCCTTAACAACAAAATAAAGAAGACCATCCCCTTGAGGTCTGGGGCCTCTCTCTGAGCAGATTCACCCTGAGTTGAATTTTATTTTATGTTATTTTAACATAAATTGTGCTAAATTGTGGCTAATTGTGCATCCTAATGAATGACATACATACAGTCTTAATTTTGGTCTCCGGGGAGTGGCCCAACACTCCAGGAAGAAGAGGCTCTGAGTGAATGCTGTGTCTTCTGGAGTCCCCACGAAAGCTCCAGAACTGAAGTGGCCCCCAGGGTGAGGAGCGGGCTGAGGGGAAGCAGTTCCTTCCGATACATCAGATACATTCATGACCTACATCACACAAACCTCATTTTTGCCAAAAATTTCACTCTCCCTCTTTTTAAGCTTGTCAGCTTCTTCTTCCTCCCACTGCTCTCATCGTATCACTCCTGCCCGCCCACCAGAAGTCACCTCCTCTGTCGAGGCCTCCTGACCCCCGAGCGCTGAGTGATCGTGGTCATGATCCTCATCGTTATTTACTGGCTCACGATGTGCCAGGCAGTCTCGAACCCTCTTAGCATGGATTAGCTCATTTCATCCTCACCACAGGTTTATGAGGAATGTACTATTATTATTTTTATTTTTTTTGAGGAAGATCAGCCCTGAGCTAACATCTGCCAATCCTCCTCTTTTTGCTGGGGAAGACTGGTCCTGAGCTAACATCTGTGCCCATCTTCCTCTACTTTATATGTGGGACACCTGCCACAGCATGGCTTGATGAGCAATGCCATGTCCGCACCCGGGATCTGAACCGGCGGACCCCAGGCCACCAAAGCGGAACGTGCACACTTAACTGCTGTGCCACCGGGCCAGCCCCAGGAATGTATTATTATTATGCCCATTTCACAGATGAGGAAACTGAGCCGGCAAGGTTAAAGCCAGCCCGCATCTAAAGCTAGCGCTACACTATCTGGCACTTAAATATGCATCTACTTATATTGACGTCCAAGTAGACCACCCGTCTTGAGCTTTACTCCCAACTAAGGACTTACACCACACTTCTGTTTCTTCTCTATGCCCGGTGGCACCGAGGATGAAGCAGATGGTAAATACTCGCTCAAGAACCTTCAATGGGTCCCCACTGCCTACAGGGGAAAAGAAAAAAAGACCTCACTTTCTCCTAGAAATCACCATGCATTTGGATTTCCATTTGGAC